ACATGCTACACCAAATTGGGGTTCTCAGAGGCAACAGAAAGCAGGTAATTTTGTGCTCCACAGATGTATCAAACGCGTATAATTGCGTCAACATTNTATAATTGCGTCAACATTAATACCCTTCAACAAATACTTGTAGACCTGAAAGTAGAGAAACTCTATATTGACTGGATAATAAATTTTTTGGCTAGCAGGACGTTAAAACTAGGAAACAGTACAGTTGAAATTAGTAATGGGCTACCGCAAGGAAGTGTACTCTCACCAATCCTCTTTAATATTTATACGAAACGACTACACAATCTATCTGACTCTAATATGCAAATATACCAGTTCGCTGACGACTTTTTCTTTGTATCATCTGGCAATAGTTTTCCCGAGGCTAACAGCAACCTCCAGGCAAAACTAGATAACTTCATTGAAATCTGCAGCCAACTACAACTAAGTTTTAACCCAAGCAAAACTAAAGTTATNTCTGCAGCCAACTACAACTAAGTTTCAACCCAAGCAAAACTAAAGTTATGCATGTTAGCAGAGGACCAAAAAAGGAAATTAATGTCACTATCGGCCAGACTAGATTGCTACAAGTTAATGAAATTAAAGCACTGGGTAGAGTAGTAAACAGCTCTCTGACCATGAGTAGTCACTACCAAACCACCATAGAGGCAACGTCCAACAATATCAAGTTTTTCAAATACCTAACAAATGTCAAATCTGGCCTACATCCTCAGAAAGCCATGAACATATACAAAAGTCTGGTCAGGTCTAAAATTGAGTATGGATACACCACTGCTGCTAATGGTGCCAAATCTGCCTCCAAAAAAATACTCACTCTACAAAACAAATTTCTCAGAAGATGCTTGGGTTTAACGCCCTCTACCCCTATTCCCACCATGTATGCACTGGCCAATGAACTGCCTCCTGCAGAGAGGTCAATATGGCTTGCAGCGAAAGAACTGGCTAAAATGTTTGCGGTTAATGACCCCATAGTTGCTTCGGTTAGATCCAGCCCCCCTGTGAACTCCAGTTACTCCTTCACATATAACAAATTCAGGCAAATTTTCGAACGGCTTGAACCTGTGGGGGATCACCCCACCTCCACCAACTGTGAAATAATCGACAGCGCTTTCCCTGGCCTCAAGGCCACAATGACTGCTGAATGTGCCAATGCTCACTTCTCTAGGATGCTCAACAATTACAAGGAGAGGAGATTTAACATCATGTTCACCGATGCATCGCTCTCTGACAGTAGGACTGGCTGTGGCATATATAATTACAACTGTGACACTGAAACTGCATTCCACCTACCCTTTAAGTCTTCCACAGCCTTTGGGGAACTCTTGGCCATTGAAGAGGCAATTAATATCGCCTCCAATAATAACTACCGCAAATTAGTAATTTTTACTGACAGCCGTATGTCGTGCCAAACCCTTAAAAACCCTAACTCACTCAATAGCATCGCTAGTAGAATCCTACGAAAAGTCCACGTAGCTGCTTTCGACAGTATCCACATTGTATGGATACCCAGTCACAAAGGTGTTCCGGGGAATGAAAGGGTAGACAGCATTGCCAAAAAGGCAATTGACAATAGCAGTTGTAAAGACTACTTATATACAACCNCACGTAGCTGCTTTCGACAGTATCCACATTGTATGGATACCCAGTCACAAAGGTATTCCGGGGAATGAAAGGGTAGACAGCATAGCCAAAAAGGCAATTGACAATAGTAGTTGTAAAGACTACTTATATACAATTGACGAAGCTATCAAGCAGATAAAAGAAGCTCTGTATAATGAATGGTATGCCGGTTTTTTGGCATATGCAAATGACCATCCCAACTTATATGCTACTATCTTCCCCACGAGAAGAGATACCGCATGGTTCAAAAAACTTTCACTGTCTCCTTCTAACATTAAAACCTTAAATCGGATACCAACAGGCCATACCTATGACAAGAACTACCTGTTCAAAATTCAGGCCTATCGGTCAAATCGCTGCTCGTGTGGTCAAGCTGATGGATACGTCCATCAGACCTTCCACTGCAGGCGGCACTCGACGGTTAGATCCGGATACGATATCTTCCAAACACATAACAATTTTGAGGCAATCTTTCGTGGCAAAAATCTAGCCAAGATAACTCAACTGGTTAACTTTTTACAAAAAGCCAATATCGTCTTTTAACTTTTATGTTTAATGTATCTTTTGTTTAAAACCACATATGTATATGTATAGTACTGGTGTTGTAACTAGTACATTCGTTTTCATGTATCTATTATTTATACCGTCTCCACCTCGCTCAAACCTTTTCAATCCGCTCGTTGGCGCGTCAAGCCGCCGTATACAATGTTAACAAAAGCCGCCCCTAAACTACAAACTGTTCAAGCAATTTCGGCACGCCCAGTGCAATCGTTTCAACAAGCCANCGTTTTCATGTATCTATTATTTATACCGTCTCCACCTCGCTCAAACCTTTCCAATCCGCTCGTTGGCGCGTCAAGCCGCCGTATACAATGTTAACAAAAGCCGCCCCTAAACTACAAACTGTTCAAGCAATTTCGGCAGTGCAATCGTTTCAACAAGCCGTCTAACGTGTCCCAACCGTCACCTTCGATCAATTCGTAATACGTACTGACTTTCAACTACACCAGTCAGGAGATAACATACACGGAGGAACAACATACACGGAGGAACGACCTGGAGGATGCGGTCCTAACTCTTAGGAACTGGCCAATAATCCAAAAACCCAAAAAAAAGACTAATACGGTGTTTACATGAAGCGATTTTACAGGCAATTTTAAGGCGATTAGTTGAATCATAAGTTGGCATTTAGCAGCTTTTCATCTCGAAAGCATCTTAAAAAACAGAACATTGCAAATAAATGGGAATACGAAGCGTTTTAAGCAAAGATTTTTAAATAAATGAAAAATGCCAAATTTTGTGTAAAACTATATATGTCATATATTTTGTGATATTGTCTTCTTAAATATAAATTTAAAAAAAAAAATGCAGAATACAAATAGTTAAAAATGTGAACTTAATGCATAACTCTGTTGTTACCATACAAACTACTAAATATGTATGTAAGTAAATTTTTAAAAATAAATACATCAGAATGCAATATACATACACATCAAATATCAACAACAAAAATTTAATAAAAAAGTGACTGAGTACAAAATTGAACAGCGTTTAACTTAGAAAATTAATGTCTTCACAAAAAGGCCATCATATGCGAATAATATGTACATATGTATGTATAGGGTGAATTACCAAAAACAATTCGCGGTTCTTCCACCGGAATTATAACACATTACTATTATATTTTAAGACTTCCGCCAAAATATTTCGGAAAAATATTATAATTAAAGCCAGCTATACCGATTCGAAAATACTCAAAAAAAAAATCATTATTTTCATTCCGTTGACAAAATGATAAAAATATTTGTATGCAGACCTTCTAAGGTTGAAGTCCTTTATCATTGTGAGGTAATTTTTTAGAAAAAAAAATTCTAAAAACTAATTTAATTTTTGTAAAAACTCGATTTTTGGAGGTATTTTCAAATAGGTGCACCACGTTTAAATCTTAATATTTTCAGAAATATTTTTTAAAATAATATAATAAACTTCGTTCAATGGCAAATAAGTATAGATTTTGTTTATGTATGGAAAGTGAAGCACCCTAATGTACATACATATGTGTGTCCTATGAATATGTATATGCGTTTATGCATGCATGTGTGTATGCTTGTATGTATTTACGCAATCAATTTGTTGATATTCTATGAACATAGCTACTGCATATGTTCATAAATTTGTAATGCACTGTAGTGGAGTGAGTCTTGTGTCACTAAAATAATGTATAAAGGTTCGCGCGCGGTTGCGTAGCAGCGATGTAGGGTTTTAGAATAGCCATTTAGCCTACGAGTTTTCGGCTTTTTCATTATTTTATATATGTATGTATGTGAATTTTTTAACGCGAAAAATAGCGCTTAATAGTGCCATAATAAGTTCTGTTACAAACTTTGAAATTTTGAATTTAGTCTTATATTCACGCTGTTAAAAAAATCGGCATATCCATCGATACGTTTCTTAGAATCCTATTAAGTAGAGCATAGTGTCAGACGGAGACGACCATGCGTAGAAGTGCTACTTCATAAATTTTTTTTTTTTTTAACTAAACTCAAATTGTAACAGACCTTATGACAGGACCGAATTCGAAAAATGTTTTCTTTTTTTTGTGGATCTCTCAATGGGGCATAGTCGAATCTCCATAAAAATATGTATGTGTGTATTAGAATGACTTTTATTTTTTGAATTTCAATTTTTGAAATAAATATAATTNCAATTTTTTCTAAAAAAAAAAAAAATATAAAAAGTTGAGGTTCCTGTGAATGACGAAAACCTAAGTCAAAATTCCATCAAAAACTTCCACATTGTTGTAGCATTAAAAGTTATTGAAAATTTGTTGTATGTTCCTTTGCATGTATGTATGTAAGCCAGTTTATGTATGCATTTACGCACTATGTATGTACATGAAGAAAAGCGAGTAGTGATTTTATACAATTTTTCATGCAACTTAGACTCATTTGATTAGCTTACAAGTTTTTGAGACTTTCTTTAGGCTAAAAATCTCAACTAATTTTTTAACTCAGATTTCGCAAACATTCTTTCTTTTGCATAGCTACACATGTATACATACATATATTATAAGGTTAAACTTATTATTTAGCAATTCTTACTTAACTTAGTTTTATACATATCTAAAATATCGTAACACAATTAATCTTTATAAAAAGAAATGCTTTGTTTTTGTTTGTCTCATTATTATGATGCTTCTCTATCAAGTTTCTCTTTCCGTTTTCATCACTCAGTTATCGCTTACATTTCTATGCCAACAAAAAATGGCTGTGCTCCCTTCAAATGCATTTCCTGTTTCCTGTTTACATTTAAACAATGTCTTATTTTTTCTTTGGATAATTTTTTAATTTTTATGTAGCTACAATGTTGACAATAAAAATAATTACAATACATATTTTCCATCATAAAATCATTAGCAATCATACATACTCTTTTACATACAGCATAAATTAAATTTATATTAAAATTAATTTTTTTTTTCTTCATAAAATTGTATTTCATGTTTCTTTGCAAATGCACAGTTATGCTTAAGAAAGGGTTAAATGGAATAAATTGCGTACAATGATTCATTTCTTATTTTCATACATACATAAATATGTAGTAAATGTCAAGTTTTGTTTTCTCAAATTTTCTCATAATTTTCTTTTCTGTTTTTTGCTTTGTCAGCGTAAATTTGGCTAGAAATAATGTGGTACAAATGTTTGTTTATCAATTATCAAATATTTTTGTTACATAAAACACTATTGTTTGCATACATATAATTTTTTATCCATTAGCGTTTATATAAAAATTAAATTATTATTTTTTTAATACAATTATTGTTTTTTTTTTGCGGCAAAAGACATACCTGATTGTATGATCAAGTTGATATA